GAGCCAATAAAAAGTTCAAGGTTAGAGTATACATACACTTTCATATCATTACAGGATGAAACTATGGGTTTAGAAAACAGAGCAGAAGTTGTTTGCTTTCAGACTCTCTCTGTTTATATGTACCACATGGGGATTCAGTTACAGAGCAGGTATAGAGGGAGAAGAATGAGATTAGCTGTGCACTAATGAGCTCTGTAAACTGTCTTTTTTTTATTAGCAAAGCAGGCAAGATTAGCCTTAGCCTAAAACCAATGTCAGATTAGAATGTGGTACCAGAAAATCTTCAATTGCACGTGATGAAAAAACAGATAATAAAATACCCATGCTTCTAAAGCATTCAAATATGTATAGCACTTTCTGTTTTTTGGCAAATTTGCAAACTTTTAAATTGAATTGAGTAAACCATATTAACTAAAAAGAGTAAATCAGAATCCAAAACATTGGCACAGCAGTAATGTGAAAACAAGGCAGTGAATTGAGTATTTGTTCATTACTATTGTAGAACACTTACAAAGGTGGAGCAAGGAAATACATGAGAATGCCCAACAACCAAATACAAAAAGATATTTGCTGTCTATATGACCAGTGATATATTGGTTGTTCTGGGGAATAGTCCATTTTCAGAGTTTTTCCAAGTACAGTCTGTACAGGATATGCAAACATTAACATACAGTTAAGGAATTAGAAGTAACCATTCTGACATTACAATGTACTCAAAGTAAAATTGTCACAGATCTGTATACCCGAGAAATGTCCCTCTATTATTATTATCTCTGTGCTTTCATCTTCATTCAACAAAGTTTGGAAGGATTGATAGAATAGCAGCACATTTTGTAATAAAATAAATTGGGATTTTATCCCTCACACAATATCACAATTAAATCAATGTCATCAACTCTAAAGTAAATTTATTTCATACAAAGTTTTCATAATCAGGCTGCTCAAATTCATTAAAGCTGAACTCTGGGTACAAAAAAATCTTTTTTTTTAATTTAAATATATTTTTCAATAGCCACAACAGACGTAAATCCACTCTGTGTGTACCAATACCTTTGCAACTCAGCTATTGATTTTCAAAAGTAGCAGTGATATTATCACTGTGCTGTACATAGCCTGTGCAGAGAGCAGAGCTGTGGGAGCAACCCAGAAGGCTCCACCCACTACAGGCTGTCTACAGAAAACTACAGGAGGGGGCGGAGATGAGACCAGTCACCCTGCCAAGGAGAGAGATCAGCAGTGACCAGTCTTTATTACAGGAAAATCCTGCACTGAGACAGTCTCATACTGTATTGCTGCATACATCTGGAACAATACACAAAGCACACCAAGAATCTACTAAGAATGTATATGACTGGTATTTGGACAATATTTATTTATCCCAGAGATCAGCTTTAACCCAGACTGAAATTTTTCCAAAAATTTGATTAAAACTTTTTTTTTTTTTTTTTTAATTGAATAGGCTCAACTCACAGAGCTTTAACATTAGAATCATTCTCCAGCCAGGGATCCATTCTAATAGTCTCTTAGACTACAATTTTTACTTTAACCACTTCCCAGTCCCAGAATATTACCATGCCACGGGCACTGGAAGCCACAATCTTGGTATCAAGATTTGCATCTGGCAATTGCACTTCATGTAAAAGTGACCCAAGTGGTCATACATCTGCCTGATCATTTTTATAGGACTTGGAAGAAGGCCTCTCGCCACTGTTGTTACACTCTGCTTGTCCAGCTTTAGATAGAGGACAGGGAGGAACATCCGTTCCTCTCTCTCCTCTGTGATGAATGATCCCAGAAACATTTATTACGTCACTTCCAGTTTTGGCTCTGTGTTTACTGGCCTGTACCAGCCAAACAGGCAGAAAATCAAACCAACCTCTAACAGACCCCAGATTTCTCAAAAAGGAGTACCTGTCACTGTCCATGATATCATAGGGGGTGTTGTTCAGCCCTTGGGATAGCAATAAAGGTGAATAAAAAAATTAAAGAGTGTAAAAAAAAACCAAAATATAGAATATATATTTATACAAAAAAAAACAAAACTTTAAAGAGCCCCTGTCCCCATACGCAAATGTGAAACCACATGCAGGTCTTGCAAAAATGATTGCACCACACGTGAGGTATCGCAATGAATTTCAGAGCGAGAAAAAGTATTCAAGCAACAGAGCTCACGTTTTACTCTAAACTGGCAACCTGTATGGTTTTAAGGTATAGCCTATGAAGATGTTTAGACACCATAGTTCAAATCTTGACGTTCGTCATCTATTTGCTCAAGCTACCAATTTTCACATCCCTAGAAAGTCAGTGTGTGCTTTAAAACATCAGCATCTACTCCTTAAGAACTGGACTACCCATTTAAGAATGCACATTGGATACGGACCAACAGTATTTGGCCATTGCACAGCAAATGCAGTTGTGGGGTATCGTCATTAAAACAGGTTTATGTGCACCCACAGACCTTTCATACTTTTCACGCTACTCATATAAAAAGAGTTCCCTGAGTTGCTGGAAACAAGAGGACTGGGCAGCAAAGCAATTTGACTGCACACCAGAACTGCAGCTGGTATTAAAATGGAATCTCCAATCCAGTTTGCTTTAACTTTAAATAAATAGCTTGTGTGGCCCAAGTATGCAGTACAAGCAGGGCCGACTTTAACGTGGGGCAAAAGGGGCAGCTGCCCAGGGCCCAGTCATTGCTGTGGGGCCCAAAGCAGCTGCCCCCTGAGCCCACGCTGCCCGCCTGGGCTTTTTCAGCCTAATTCCGCCACCTCCTGCACTGCTCACTTCTGCATTTAGAAGTTACAGCTTGTAAGGAGCTCAGAACCCTCCCTGCTCTACACATCAACCTCCATAGGAGAGCAGATGAGGGTGGGGACTCCACACAGGCAGAATCTCCTCTTATCTGGCAGCCTGCATGGACACACCATAAGTATTCCTCTGAAGCCCCACTGTGAAAATTGTGTACATGTCTGTCTGTGTATGTGTCTGAGTGTTTGTGTGCGTCTCTGAGTGTGTGTATGTTTGTGTGTGTGTCTCTGTATGTCTGAGTGTGTATATGTGTGTGTGTGTGTGTGTGTTTTCAGTGGGTGAGCTCTGAAATGAAATTTGTTAGAAAGAGAGCTTTATACTTGTGTGGGGGGAGAACTTGGATGTACACAGCACATCCCTCAACCCTGCTCTCCATACAGTGTAACCCAAACTCCGTTCACAGCGCACCCCACACCTGCACTGCATATACAGCGCATCCCTCAACCCTGCACTCCGTACACAGGGCACCCCTCAACCCTGCACTCCGTACACAGCGCACCCCTCAACCCTGCACTCCGTACACAGCACACCCCTCAACCTTGCACTTTGTACAAAGTGCACCCCTCAACCCTGCAGTCTGCACATAGTGCCCACTTCAACCCTGCACTCTTTATGTACCCTGGCAGCCCATCCTCAGAGATGCTGCTCACATTGGGCTCTATTCCTACCTGCACTCAGTCCACCTTCATAGTTGTGCATTCTCTGCTAATTCTCACTGCTAATAAAAAGTTCCAGAATTTTCTATTAGTGGGTCGTGTCCCCTCTGCAGTTTGTGGTGTGTAGGAATGGAGGAGATTGTGTGCTGTAACCTCTAGCAACCAATTGGTGAGTGGTAATGATGTGCAGTAACCTCTAAGAACCAATAGATAAGCAGTAAGGATGTGCAGTGTCCTCTAGCAATTAATCAGTGAGCAGTAATGATGTGCAGTAACCTCTAGCAACCAATCGGTGAGTGGTAATGATGTGCAGTAACCTCTAAGAACCAATGGATAAGCAGTAAGGATGTGCAGTACCCTGTAGCATTTAATCAGTGAGCAGTAATGATGTGCAGAAACCTCTAACAACCAATCAGCCAGCAGAAATGATGTGTTGTAAACTCTAGCAACTGATCAATGAGCCATAATGTGTGCTGTAACCTCTAGGAATCAGTCAGTGTGTAGTAATGATATGCTGTAACCTCTGGCAACCAACCACTGCCTGATCTGCTGCAGTAAACTGATTTTGAGTCTAGCTGCTATTTACTGCATGTCTCCGAGTTGGGGGCTGGGGGGGGGGGGGGTGGCGGCTAGGGGGCCCCCAAAAAAAATGTTTGCCCAGGGTCCAATCAATATTAAAGACGGCCCTGAGTACAAGCCACTTCCATAGCATAGAGGAACGATCTTAGCGCATCTTCAGCATTCATGAGAAACCTTTTATTTTTATCAATGAATACAAGGTTTCTGCTCATTGGTCAAGTGGAGAGGCTAGGACATGATGTCATCATTTCTACCGTGGGCAATCAGAGGAAGCTTTTTATTCACTGATAAAACTACAAGTGGTCTCCTGAATGGCAGAGATGCTGTAAGACCGATTTTCTCTATATCTGGCAGCAGAGAAGTCACTTGTACTGCTGATGCAACACAGCAGCTGCTCACCTGCTAATTCTAATACAGTCTATTACAGGAGCCATTGTACGGGCATGGCATTTTTTTAAAGCCAACTTGGCCCCAAAAAAAACTATTTAAAGTGAAAGTAAACCTGGAATTCTATTTTAAAACCACCTCACTGAAAGTGCTGACACCAAAGCTCAAATATATTAACCATATGATAAAAAGGCAGGACTCGCTGGGGAGAAGACCAATTAGCATGAAGGCAACAGGAGGATGGAGCGACAAGAGGCTAAACACAACAGACACTGAAAATGAAACGGTAAAAGCTCAGAGAAGTGCCTGGCGGTCCATGAGGTCATAATGAGTCAGACAAGACTAAAGAAGAAATCCACTCTTGCTACAACACTGTATTGATGCTGTCATGTAGAAGATACAACAAAGGCACATTGGAGTTATCCAGCCCACTGTAAACATCACTCAATTTTGTTTTTGGCTTTTGGTGGTAGCAGAACAAAGAATTCATATAAAAAACAGCAGCAGCGGGCTTGTTCCGCTAGGAGATGGATCACGGCCTGGGCTGGTATGATGGAGGAAGTATGGTGTTCAGCCCTCAGTGTGGACATTCTCAATTAAGCCCTCTGTCCACAGAGAGATAGCCAGGTTCACCTTGTCATGGTCACCCTCCAGAGGTAGGTCTTTAACAAGCAGTAGCTTCTTCTCCCAGATTGCTTTCAGTGCATTCATGTATGACAAAGGGAAACGCAGACCGCTCACCTGCAGAAGAGGGACACACAACGCAGCTACAAGTTAAAAATCACAAGAGATGATATATATGACATTGTTAGCAAACACTTCACAAGTCAATATTTCTCCCACAGGATATGGTCATCTTAAAACAGCCACCCGTGGTCCTTTGGGACAGATTAGGCCCTCCTCCCACAATACTAAAATTTCTGCAAAGGGAAACAGTAGGGAGGTACAATGTCACATTTGAATTTAAGGGCCCTGTGACCACCCTGGTAATTGGAGGATGGCAGATACTGCATGGGTTTGTGCATTTTAAAAGAATAGAGATTTCAAATGCTTTCCATTTATTAATGTTATGGTAAAGCATTGAAAATTAAAGCATATTCCCTTTTAAAAATACACTGTAAGCCATTAAAATATTAAATATTGCATTCTCATGGTTAGCCAGCAGGTCATGCTTTTAGGCTCCCTTTTACATATTTTCCAGTTTTTATCCCCAGTTGAAAAGAAGTCTGTTTAGGGAGCTCAATAGCGCAAGCTAAAATTTACACACACACACAAGTAGACAAGTCGGAGCAGTAACTTCATCACCCTTCCCTTCCAAGGTTTTTCAATAAGACCATAGTAGCTCTCTTATTATAATACAAAGAATTCACCAGAAAATAAAAAATAATACATAATATATGCTTTTTTAGTGCATAGCTATGTATAAAGATTTGTGGACACTGGACATGCCTAAAAAAAAAATTAACTGAAGTACACAGGGTGCATGTACTTCAGTTACACCCTGTTCAGGGTGCCCTGTCCTTCTGCCACTTTCCCCCTCACACTCGCCAACAATTTTTGGCTGTCATGACAGCCTGGAGTTGCTGTGTACATTGTAACAACCATGAATGATCTCAATTACCAGAGCTGAGACTGTTTTCAGCAACAGTAATCCTGGAGCTTGGCAAACCCACATACAAACTCTGCCCAGGTGACTCCTCTAAGAAAAACACACACACCATTATTTAGAGATTACTGCCCACCATTCTGCTTTCTCAGCCACACTACACTTTCGTTTACAGACAGCTGGTGTCAGACGTTTCTATAATCAGTAGACAATCAGCCATGAGTAGAATAATCTCTCCCCATATAAATTGTCTTTTAGGTTCTGAAAGTGTTTTTTCTTTAAATAATCTCTAGTAAAACATACCACTCTATAATTTAAGCATACTGGCCCCTTAAATGTTATAATCAGCATGTGATACACCATTAGTAGCTGTACTCAGCAAACAAAAGCTCAGCCGTACAAAAGGAGCAGTGATTTTCTATAGCCCCACAAAGGTCTTGTTACAGAACCTGCTGGATACCAATAAGTGTCACATAGCATAAAACAGGTCTGCCTGCTACACCTTGTGAACTGGCTCATGGTGTGGAATAAAAATCACATGGCAGCAGGAAACAGCACTGACAGTGCAACAGTGCCCCCTACAGGCCATTCCTCACCAGTAGTTTACCACCATCCAAATCACGCAATACCTGTTTTTCTTTCAAAGACAGGAGAGGAAGCTCAACTCATAAAACAACTATATTTCCCCCATGGGAGAGATATTTTTCTTTCTTTTACTTGCACTTAGGGAATTTGGCAAACATATATTAGCTGACTACCATAAAACAATAAGAACAGGAGGAAGTATGTTTTATTTGTGCTGGCGACATTTTAAAGCTGTCGTACCACAGCACACTCAATTGTGTACATGGGGGGAAGAGAAATACTATTACTTCTCACTATCCAGCCATATTCCCATGCATATCATTACTTAAAGAGGAGCTGCAATCTTCCACCCAAAAATTAAAAGGCAGCAGCTACCGATTCTGTAGCTGCTGACTTTTAAAATAAGGACACTTACCTGTCCAGGGATTCAGCAATGTCCACACCCAAGCTGATTATTCAATGGGCTTTGAGTTCAGGCTTCAGCATCTTAACTAAGGAAAAACAGCAGTACAGCCTTGCAGCTCCATAGCTGGCTTCCCACTCCTCATGCGCGGGTCACACTGTGCTTTGTGAAAGGTCTCGTGGTCTTCTGGGACTGGTGATGGGCCAAGAGGGGATGGGAGTGAGCTTCCGTTTGGATTGCCTAGGTGATCTGGGTGGAAGTGGAAACGGGTACCTGTCAAAACCAAGCACCCGCTCCCCCCCCCCCTTTCCCCGCAAAGAAAGTGCCAACTTTGTGAGGGGGCGGCGGGGGAGGAGCAGAAGGAAGAGGAAGGCAGGCAAGCAGAATTTCCCATTTCGGGTGAAGTTCCACCTTAAAAAACAACATCTGCCTTTTACCTTTATAAGGAGTTTTAAGGATCATGAAATACTTTCAGGCAATGCATCAGCTGAAATTTGAATTTTGACTTTCTGATACCAGCAGTATTGTCCACTTTGTAAGCAATGAATGTTCTTGTTGTACTCCTTTAGAACAAATTCCAACTCGGGGTGTCTGTGTTCTACTTACAGGAGATCTTTCTTCAGTGTCTGAGACCATATGAGATTTCCGATTATTGTTTAAGGCGTGGAAGACATATATCACCAATTCATCTGTGGGATCCTATAACAAAACATGTATGAAATCTTTAAGCCACTTTAACCAATTGATATTCACCTATGAAGTCATCTCTATAGTAAGCTGTAACGTGTTTGCTATAGGTTACTGTATATTACTATAGCTATCAGTATCAGATGGCTGTATGTGTTGGATGTAGATTTATTGTACATTGAGGATGATGAACGTCCGTAATGTAACATATAGCTGGTTTTTGGTTTGGCACTCTTTGTGATTTATATTGTCATATTGACCAATACTTCCATTTCTCCCTTTGGGTATGTAACAGATCTCCTGCACAAGTGAGTATAGAAAAACAAAATCAATTGTCTTGCTGAATAAGTCAATACTATCATTTTGGCCTTTGAATGTGTAACTGACTTACTGCATAAAAAGTGCATAGAAAAAAAATCTCCCCCTTTAATGCTTATAATATTCTATTGGTAAACCTAAAGGGAGCATCAGATTGGCTGTAATGTAAAACAGAAATCAGTGAAGCTAAAACTCATGTAGATATACATAGCCCATGCTTCGATCCAGCTTTTTCCTGAATAAAAGAACAGAACAATCCCAGAAACCTGTACTCACAAGCATCTTTGGAGCTTGATCTACTGTGATGGCGGCATAATCCTGGTACTGCAGTCTGATTGTGCTGTTTAGGTTTGGAGGACTGACTAGACAAAAAAAAAAAAGCCATATTCAAATGAGAACATATCATTAGTAAACAGTCATGACAACACTTAAAAACACTTCTGCTGTAGCATTAGAGCAGGGACACAGGATGGAGAGCAGAGAATGCAGTCCACCTTCATCTTAAAGAGGTGCTTTGCGAGGTAACACCACTTCACAGAGCACTTGTGTGAATTAAGATAATGGCCATTTCTACATTGTGCTGAATAGCCTTGCCACCCACTTCATCCTTCTGACCAAATGTGCTACTCGTATTACAGACCTAAGATTGATGTAAACGATCTTCTTGTATGGACCTGGTCAAAGTGAGCAGTCTGTACTCAGCTAGGACCACACTTGATTGCCAGCCATTATCCTCTATGGCCAAGACTGGTGCATATGTGCTGGTTAGTTATGTCCACTACAGGATAAAAAGCTGGTTTAAAACAGGAAAAAAACAACTGATGGATTGTTGTACCAACACAAGCAGCATTGGAGCAGCGATCTCCCCTGCTGTGCTATTGTATTCAGATGGGGACTCCAACCCCCTTCCCAAAATACACGGATTGGATGCTGGTTTTCTAGCATGTCCCTTTCAACAAATGCTGGTTGTTAGACTGCCTTCCGTCAGACAGACTGCTGTACACAATGACTGAAAGTTGGCTAGTTCTGTCTGAACCAGCCAATTTTGGACAGTGTGTACCCTGCTTAAAAGATCTTGTCTGCATTTCAGGTCTGTAATTCACTCAAAGGGGCAAGGGGGTGGAACGGGACATTACTTCTTACAAGCAATGTACAACCTTTTCAGTTATCTTTTAATTGTTCAGGACTTTGCCAGTTCACAGCTTACACATCTAACAAAGTTGTAAACTTTCATAATGTTTTAACATTACAGGATATACCGGCAGTTACCATCATAATCACAATAATTAGGCTTAAGATACTGTAGATATAGCTGTCATTCAAAATGATCTGTTACAACAAAAAAGAAACAGAGAGATTCTAAAGGAGTAAATAGGAGTGTTAATGTAGTTGTAAATGGAAATTAGCAATGTCTGATCTAAATTAATATTCTTACATTTGCAGTGTTGTTATTTTTAAATCTAAATACCTTTTCTGTATTCTTGTATATAGTGTTCATGTGATCACATTTTTTCCCATTCCAGAGTACATGGGACTCATGTAGGAGGGACTGCTCTCCCTGAGTGACATTTGTAACATAATAGCCCATGCACTCTGACCTTGTGTCCTGCAAAGAGCTGATTGGCTGCTAAGGGAATCCTCCTCGGTAAAGCAAGGCAGAAGGGGTGGGAAGTAACAAACCTTCAACACGGACTACGGAACTTCTAAAAGGAAAACACAGGCATGCTGTGCTTTTGCATGGCGTGTCTCTTAAGCAGAGCGGCATGACAACAGACGTAAACTGACCACATAATGGATGGGCAGCCATATTTGGCGTGGTCAGTTTACTCAGGGGGACAGAGGCACAGGCAGGTCAACCAGGTATTACACAAAACTGCAAGGATTATATTACATTTAAAAAGCACAGTGCAAATTACATTGCTTTAAAAAGGGACAGGAACTGCAATTTGGTTTTTAAAGGTTTATACGCACTTAAAGTAAAGGATAAGTTTACCTTTGGAACATGTGACATGTTCCACTTGGATTTAGGGTGGAGCATGTAACACATTCCAGCTCTTGCCTCCTCTGCCTCCCCCCCCCCCATCCTTCCTGTAACAGTGGGTAGAGGATCTTCTCACTGCACCCGCTCTCACAATTTAAAAACAGCATGGCGTGTGGGGCTCTGCCCTATCCTTTAATGCTTTAAAAAAGGTATCTATGTATACTTTGTATTTATATGTACATGAGCTATATTTGTTCAGAACTCTGTGAATGACTGATGCGGCCGTGCGGGCGGAGCACTGTTGTCAAATCTGACAGATAGTACGGGGAAACTTCGCAATGGACGTGGCTGCAGCTATAGGAACATGTTACATGTTCCACCCTAAAAACGAGTGGAACATGTAACATGTTCCCAAAGGTGAACTTATCCTTTAATGCATACGTATCTACGTATACTTTGTATTTATATGTACATGAGCTATATATTTGTTCATTACATATGCAGGCTCTGCTTCCAGCTATGTAGTGCTACAAATTGTTTGTACTTTATGCTCACTGCACAATGCAAAGCCTGAGTTGGCCATTATATTGACAACCCGTGTATCACATATGTTATCTCAACAGATGTAAAGCATGAAGGTGAAGCAAGGAGCAGTTTGCATTAACTAGTCCAGTAGAGATTTCTGAATATTTCATCTACACGCTGTAAGGCTCAGTGACAATCAACAATAAATAGTGTTGTACACTGATATAGGATACATTCAAATGGTTAGGGGAAGGCTGTGTTTAGAAAAGGCCAAGTGCAATAAAAATGTACTTTAAGATGATCCTGTCAGAGCCCATTCAAACTTTACCATTCCAGTATGTTGTGTTAACACGGATCTCGTTATGCATCAACATGTGTTGCATTGAGGCAACCCATTTATTTTGAATGTGCTTCCAATACAAGCACCTTTGTCTAACACAGTGCACCATAACACATAGAAGTGCATTACCTGCATTGTAGTGTGCTGCAATGCATGTGCACTGGAGCTGTGTTGTCAACAGTGTGCTGTTGTCATTTAGGGGCCACATCACACTTTTAACATGCAGTAGTACATTAGCATGTTGCAGCGCCATTCATTTTGGGTTTCAGCAGACCACAAAGATCAGCACTTGAAAGTAAAGTAAATACATATTTAGTAAAGCAACTATTTAACAACATATGAATGTAATAACTATATACAAAAGAAAGACACTATAAGCACCAAACCTGATTTCATAGTGCTTCCTTTCTCCTTGTTAAGAGGAGGGCTGTCCTTCATATAGGGTGGAAGTCTATTCCCCATGAAGTCCCGCAGCATTTCACATGAACGCAGCTGGCATCCACCTTCTATTCGGTTAGCCAAGTCCTTCAAAAGACCAGCCAAGGTGCTTCCTGCATTGGTAGGACCTAAACACTAAAACACAGATGTACATAGCATGCTAAACAAAAGTACCCTACAATTATAAACAAAAATACCACATATTTGAGATTTAAACACAAAAGGGTTTTACAATTTGTATATTCAGAAGAAACATCAAAATAAACGTCACTGTGAAAAACCTGCTGAATCTGGCAACAAAGGGATGTATAAATGTTATAAGCAGAGTGGACTCACAACTGACTCTAGCATGGATGCAATGTTCCCAAGGCACAATTCAAGACTGATGAGATTTAAGGAAAGCTGTTGGGATACAAATAAACAAGCTGTCATTTTGGTTCCACACCTGTCTTCATTACATAAATGAGCCACTAACCTGAAACCAGCATGCTTCCAAAGAGATCTGGACACATGTTCTATGTATGGCTCAATACGAAGTGCAAATGGAGGAAGAATGACAGCCCTGAATTTTGTGCCACAAAAAGAAAAGTCTGCAGTGGAACCTCCAATACGTCTATCCTCACAGGTTCCCTTTAATCCATCAGCTGACCCTGGTTTGAGGCCTCTGTGTGCAGCAACACATGGGTCCACTGAAATCTCGTTTGCTGGAAGTGTGAACTATGATCTCTCAGATAGAATTGCTGCTAAAGGGTGGTGAAAGCCCATTCTATCACTTCTCCATTTATCTATAAGAACAGTCCAAAGGTGTCCGTACACAATTAAGAAAAGTAGAGAGGATTGAGGTTTGGTCCGTACCAGTAATTGTTGGAGAGGAATGCCTTTTCTCAGGTCCACTTTTTCCTTCGCTGAATCATGTAGGAGTGCAGGCATCAGGTCCTGCAGATAGTCTGCCCAGGAGCTTTATACAGCACAAAGAGACATAGAGAAATATTACAAATCAGCAAGGAGACTTACTATGATTTTGTATGTTAACATTGTTCTTATGGTAACACAAAGAGATACACAAGACCATATCAATAATGGAGAGCAGAGAACACTGTCTGCAGCAAAATGCAGTGCATACAGTGAGGAACAGAAGTATTTGAACACCCTGCGATTTTGCAAGTTCTCCCACTTAGAAATCATGGAGGGGTCTGAAATTTACATTGTAGGTGCATTCCCACTCTGAGAGACAGAATTAAAAAAACAAATTCAGGAAATCACATTTTATGATTTTTAAAGAATTTGTCTTGCACTGCGGAACATAAGTATTTGAACTCCTAAGAAACAGCAAGAATTCTGGCTCTCAAAGACCTGTTACTGTGCCTTTAAAAAGTCCACCTCTACTCCACTCATTAATCTAACTTAGTAGCACCTGTCTGAGCTCTTTAAAGACACCTGTCCACCGCACAGTCAGTCAGACGCTAACTACTACCATGGGCAAGACCAAAGAGCTGTCAAAAGGCACCAGAAACAAAATTGTGGACCTCCACAAGGCTGGAAAGGGCTATGGGGCAATTGCCAAGCAGCTTGGTGAAAACAGATCAACTGTTGGAGCAATTGTTAGAAAATGGAAGAGGCTAAAGACGACTGTCAGTCTCCCTCGGACTAGAGCTCCATGCAAGATGTCACCTCGTGGGTATCACTGATGATAAGAAAGGTGAGGAATCAGCCCAGAACTACAAGGGAGGAGCTGGTCAATGACATGAAGAGAGCTGGGACCACAGTTTCAAAGGTCAATGTCGGTAGAACACTGCGCCGCCATGGTTACAAATCATGAATTGCACGGAAGGTTCCCCTGCTCAAGTCATCACATGTCCAGGCCCGTCTGGAGTTTGCCAATGACCATCTGGATGATCCAGAGGAGGCATGGGAGAAAGTCATGTGGTCACGAGACCAAAGTAGAACTTTTTGGTCTAAACTTCACTCGTTGTGTTTGGAGGAAAAAGAAGAATGAGTTGCATCCCAAGAACACCATCTCTACTGTGAAGCATGGGGGTGGTAACATCATGCTTGGGGGGTGCTTTTCTGCGAAGGGGACAGGACGACTGCACTGTTTTTAAGGAGAGGATGAATGGGGCCATTTATTGTGAGATTTTGAGCAACAACCTCCTTCCCTCAGTCAGAGCATTGAAGATGGGTCGTGGCTGGGTCTTCCAACATGACAATGACCCGAAGCACACAGCCAGGATAACCAAGGAGTGGCTCCGTAAGAAGCATATCAAGGTTCTGGAGTGGCCTAGCCAGTCTCCAGACCTAAATCCAATAGAACATCTTTGAAGGGAGCTGAAACTCCGTGTTGCTCAGCGACAGCCCCGAAACCTGACAGATCTAGAGGAGATCTGTGTGGAGGAGTGGGCCAAAATCCCTGTTGCACTTTGTGAAAACCTGGTCAAGAACTACAGGAAACGTTTGACCTCTGTAATTGCAAACAAAGGCTTCTGTATCAAATATTAACACTGATTTTCTCAGGTGTTCAAATATTTATGTTCAGCAGTGCAAGACAAATAAATTCTTTAAAAATCATTTAATGTGATTTCCTGAATTTTTTTTTTCAATTTCTTTCTGTCAGAGTGGGAATGCACCTACAATGTGAATTTCAGACCCCTCCATGATTTCTAAGTGGGAGAACTTGCAAAATCGCAGGGTGTTCAAATACTTCTGTTCCTCACTGTACACCAGATTGGTCCTGCAATTTATGAGTTTGGAGCCTGTGGTTTCCTTCAGAGTGGTCCCTGCATTATGCTGTAAGGACACTCCATCGTGGGAGGAGAACTTCAATACATGATTTACAGGTCATGTGACCGAGTTAAACTCCTCCAGAGATTTTTGAAACAAAAACTTTAAAATGGTTATGGCTTCATTTGACTTGGAGTCCCAAATCAAGTGAAGTGTCCACTGTGCTTTATAAAATGTGCCAAAAGTTTTTTTTTTTTTTTTTTTTTTTTAATTGCAGTAGCATGGTTGCAGTAAATCCTTTCACTGCTTTATAAATCAACCCCCTAATTGGGAGTAAGCTAGCTGGGTATTGATCAGGTGAGGTCCTATTATGTTACTACAACCCCAATTTAAAAAAAAGTTTGGACAATGTATAAAATGTACATGCAATGCAATGATTTGCAAATCTCACAAACCAATATTTTATTCACAATAGAAAACATATCAAATGTTTAAAATCAGAAAATGTATTTTTAAATTGATGGCAGCAACAGGTCTCAAAAAAGTTGGGAAAGGGCCACGTTCACCATTGTGTAGCATGCCTTCCTCTTATATCAACACTCTGTAAATGTCTGGGAACTGAGGAGACCAGTTGCTAGAGTTTTGGGAGAGGAATATTGCCCCATTCATGCTGCCTGATATAGGATTCTAACTGCTCAATAATCCCGGATCTTTGTTGTATTTTTCCTCTGAAAATGAACCAAATATTTTCAGTTGGTGAAAGGTCCGGACTGCAGCCAGGACAGTAAAGCACATGGACTCTTCTACTATGACAAAGCCATGCTCTTGTCATAGATGCAGTATGCAGTTTAGCTTTGTCCTCCTGAAAAAAGACATCACGTGGTTTGGAGCATATGCTGCTCTAAAGCTTGGAGATATCTTAGAGCATTGATGATGCCTTCCTAGAAGTGCAAACTGCCCATTCCATATACATGAATGCAACCCCAATAATGCAGGCATTTGAATGGAGCACTGATAACAAGCCTGAAGGTCTCTCTTCTCTTTGTTCAGAGAACGCAGCACCCATGGTTGCCAAAAAGAATTTTAAACTTTGATTCGTCTGACCACAGAACAGTTTTCCACTTTCCAACAGACCATTTTACATGAGATTTGGCCCAGAGAAGATGGTGGTGTTTCTGGATCATGTTCAGCTATGGCTTCTTCTTGTATGATAGAGCTTTACCTTGCATTTTTTGATAGCACAGCGAACTGTGTTCTCAGACTGTGATTTTTGGAAGTATTCCTGAGCCCATGCAGTGATGTCCATTACAGAATCGTGCCTGAATTTATGCAGTGCCATCTAAAGTGCCCCAAGACCACGGGGGGCCAAGACTGTTTCCGCCTTGTCCCTTGCGAACTGAATTGCTCCACATTCTGATTCTTTTGATATTATGTACTGTAGATGATATATTTACAGTTTTTGTAATTTTACATTGAGGAACATCATTTTGAAACTGTTCGATCATTTTTAGATGCAGCTCTTTACAGACTCGTGAACCATCTTTACTTCTGAGACACTCTGACTCTCCAAGAAGCTCTTTTTATACCCATTCAAGTTACCAATCTGTTGCCAATGAACCCAAAATGTTATTCCATCCCTTCCTTGTTAGTGCCACTCACTCTGCCAGCTTTTTGTTGCCCTGTCCCAGCTTTTTGAGACATGTTGATGCCATCAATTTCAAAATTACCTTATATATATATATATATATATATATATATATATATATATATAGTGCATTTCCAGTTTAAACATTTGATGCATTTTCCATTTTCTATTGTTACCAAAATATGGGTTTGTGAGATTTGCAAAAATTAACACATTCTGTTTTTATGTATATTTTACACAGGATCTCAACTTTTTTGGAACTGGGGTTGTACAATGCTCCCAGCTGCACAGTGCTGTGGGAAGGACTCTAACTGGTTTATGAGTGTCAGGCTTGCATGGTGGTGAATGGCCCAGAGGCAAACTGGAAGCCACAGAGTAACAGGAATAGGTAAGATCCTCATTCTAACATTATGAGGGAAGGTCAATATATCCATCATTCCATACATAATTATAGCATGAACTAGGGATGCACCAACACCCTTTTTTGATCAACGAGTACCAATATGTTTGATCAAGTACTCAAAGATACTGAGTACTGATATTTTGCTGTGTGATTTGCGTCCGTACAAAATGTATGGACGCAAATCGCACCATAAAGAAAAGCATGCGATTTTAACAGGATTCTTGTCCAAAATCGCATGCAGTTTCCCCACTGTCCCACTGAGTTCACACAGGAGCGTTGAGGGAAACCTGCCTTGTTTAGAAGAGGCCATTTCAGCTTTTTACTATGCTGAACACACGATATGGTGAATACAGCTGGCAGTAAAAAAAAAAATGTTACATACCATAAAATACTTACGTGTTCTGATAGGTGCTGATAGTCACATGTGTGGAGTGTGAGGAGCCTGCCGGTGTGTCAGCCTCATGAAACCACCCCTCGTGGAAAATACAACATGTCACCTTCCTAGGAGGAGAAACGGCTTTAATGCTAACCCTTTAGCTTGCTATTAGGTGTAGAGACCAAGTCCAACCATTCTGGAGATATTCAGAAAGGCCATTACCTTCAATATGAAGTCATGAGTGGGTGTTATGACTTTATCCACAGGGGCCACATCATACCCTCTAGCCAGGGGAATGATGGGTTCATAGAGCCGCCAGTGCTTCTCACCCTCCACCTGAAGGATAAAGACCTGGAAAGACAAATGAGGACATTTATCAAGTATATTAGTGAAACAATTACGAAAGTACCATAAATCAGTCCTGCAGTGTTCACACAGTTTGCATAAAATAGAAAAGATAACATTTGTAGCAATATAACTAAACAATCACTAGCCATCTGCATAATTCCTCCAAAGCACAATAGCTCCGTCTCTATTGTTTTTAGTGCAGTCCACACAATTTGCAAGTGACAGATGTAAAAGAAACAGAGAAGGGAAAAGAGCACTAACAAGTTGCATACAAGTGGCTGAGTCTCAGCCACTGACACCAAGCTTGTGTCCAAAAAAAAAAAAAAAAAAAAAAAAAAAAAAAAAACAAAAAACACTGAATTGCTTACAAAAGTGAGAGCACGTACTCTAGAGCAGTTCCCATGTATGGCGACATCACCTCCTGTCCAATCAGTGCAATACGTACAATTGCACAAATTACAAAAATAGCCTACTTTCAGCTGGCAAAGCTAACGTTTTTCTGTGTTTACATCTCCTACACCTGGAATTTTGGGCAGTCAACTCCAGCAGAACTGCAGTGGTCTAAATCAGAACTAGCATTGAATATAATACAGCCTTTCATTCCAAACCAACTCACAAGGAAGAAGAGGCTAGGGCAGGCTTGTCAATCACAAAGCTACTTTAGAGCAGAAGAGGGAGGAATGAATGAATGACTGAATGAAGCTGAATGTTATAGTAAACCAGAACTAATAAATTCCCCCCATGTACGTACCTCCCACTGAAACAGAATGCAGTATAGTCCTGTGGTAGAGGACTATAAAGTATCTTTGTCTTTTCACAAAATACAAGTGAGAAAAAATTAGACAGCAATGCTACTGACATAACCGGGCTCATTATAGTCATATAGAAAAAAGATGAACTGTATACAGTAGAATGTTTGTTGGTTATCTAATTATACTTATGAAAAACTGAAACTAGCCAATATGCATCTCATAGGAATGCAGCCAATTAATTCACCAAGTTACAGTGATTTTACAGAGACAAAATTCCAAAAGGAATAAAGGAGATTTTTGCACTTATTGTAAAAGTCCTTTTCTATGTTCACCAAAAGGACAGTGAAGATCTGGTACCACTGGGTTATACTGCCACCTGCAGGAGGAGAACAATAAGGGCTGCCCTGCTGGTGGTCAACCCCCTTCCTGATGGAAACCGCCCCAGTTTTGGCTCAGTGTCAGTTTTTTGCTCAGCGCCAGGAGTTAAAACCTCAGAATCCCCGTTGAGATGCTATTTTCCCTCGTTTATGTTATTTTTTTTTTCCTTTTTAATGTTCTTTTTTTCATATGATTGGTGGATTTTTCAATCAACTACTGGCTAGGGAGCAAGCTATATGTTATAGATTCTTATAGTCACCCCAGACAAACCACTGAGTGCATGCAGTTCCTCAATACAATACTGTTCTCACAGCAGCCTGAGAGGTTACAGGACCAAGGATTCATGGATAGATGCAGCAGATACCCTGATGTCTCAGTGGGACCAGCACAGTCCACTAAATGTTTTCACCAATTAAACTTTTGCCGCTCCTTCCTCACAAAAAGAGAAAAACAAATTCCAGCTGGGATTCTGAGGTCCTAACTTCTGATGGTTGGCAAAAAAATAGCGCTGTTTCCAGCAAGCAAAGCTATAGCAAATCAGCATAGGGTGCCCCTAGCCTTTTTATTTATGTTTGTACCTAGCATCATACTCCTGTAGGTACCAGTACCACCCAGTGGTTCCTGATCTTAGATATTCACTGTGCCCTGCTTTCTATTTTGTATATTTCAGGTTTAATTTGGGAGGGAAAAAAATGTTATCAGACAGAAAAGCTAGCAGCTTAGAAATTAGCTGGATTTGCTAAACGATCCTTTATTTTTGTCACTTCTAAGACTTCTCTGATGGCTTCTTCTTTGCCTTTTGGTGAATTAGCTCAACAACTAATACTGATGCAACGCACAATTTTTAAAGAAGTCAAGCAAAGTAAAAAGCTCTTTTAACGCTTGATAAATACGTGCGTTAGATCAGGGTAGTTCCGTTTATTAATTTACCGCTGCATTTTAAACACTGCAAGTAATTAATTTTATTAAATTCCTAGTTCAAATCTGTAAACAAATATAACATTTACTCAAAAGGTGAAGATGAAATGCTACGTCTGTCATAAAACATTTGGATAAAAGCACAAATGTTTTCATTCAAGTTGAACTGAATTATAAAAATGTACTTATCAAAGTGTGTTTGCTGAACAGCTGGGAGAGTTCCACCATGCTGCACACAGAGCTGCTGTGTTATACTGCCACCTAGTGCAAACTGGAAACATTACCAGAACACATGAAATAGGTACACATGGGAGTCCCAGCACAGTATGCCTCCTTTTACTGCCCCTGAGTAAAGCTTACAGATATTCTGAATGTGCCGGCAGAGATGTGAGAAGAGATGGTCCATGGCAGGACTGCTCAGAAGTTAAAGAGCGCAGAGATGCTTTCTCCCAGATTAAAAGCATTGGCCCCTGTAACTTTCCTTAAGGGCTTTGCTGTGAATCATCAAATAGCACCTATTCCATCTTTGCTGTGGATCATTATCAGGCAGCACCTTCCCCATTTCTGCTGTGGATACTTTTGGACAGCTCCTCTCCCACCTTTGCTGTAGATCAGGGGTCTCCAAACTTTCTAAGCAAAGGGCCAGTTTACTATTCTTCAGGCTTTAGGAGGTAGACTGTGGCCAGTGCGAGTAAACTATGCCCCATCATTGGGATTTAATGGGAGGAATAGTGCCCCATTGTTGGCATCGGTCAGAAAAATAGTGCCCCATTGTTGGCATCGGTCAGAAAAATAGTGCCCCATCAACAGTGTTAGTGTGAGGAATGGTGGCCCTTCATTGGTGTCATTTGGAGGAATAGTGCCCTGAGCGCCATATACAGGCAAGCAAAGGGCCACATCTGGTTCCTGGGCCACAGTTTTGGAGACCACTGCTGTAGATCATTATCAGATTACAGCTCTCCCATCCTTGCTGTGGATAATCAAACAGCACCTCTCCCATCTTTTCTGTGGATCATCATCAGAGAGCACCTCTCCCCATTCATGCTGTGGATCCTCATCAGATAGCATCTTTTCCATGTCTGCTGTGGGTCATTCTGGACAGCTCCTCTCACATCTCTGCTGACTCATTCTACAAATCTACGTCTTCCCTGGAGAAGCAAGAATGAAGGGGAGGAATGAACCCTCCAGAAGTAAATACTTCTCCCCCTGTTCCTACACCTTGAGTAAACCCAAATGTCTCAAAAAGACTAGTATTGCACACTGGGTCCCATGGATCCCCAACTTCATACTCTGCTTTTGAATGCTTCCCTGAATCTGAATGCTGCATCAGAGAGCAAAGAATGTGACTCAAAAATGCACTAAACCAGGAGAATGTAGGGAAACTAGTACATTATTTAAATGGAAACCTCATTCATCCCACCCCCAACATACCACACCCTTAATTATGTATTTCTAATAGGTAGCACTTTAAGAAGTCTTTCTAAAAATGAATCACATCCAATACAGTACATAAAACAGCTTACCTCTACATCATCATGGTGAGCGGGCAGGCCCTGAGAATCTGATGGTGTGATGTACACATTACATCCAACTAGTGTACCAAAGAAACATTCCAGCTTCTCCATAATCTGCCACAGCTTGTCCTGGACAGAGGGAGACATATTACAGAAGGAAAGCAATGTTTGAAAAAATCTTTTAAAAATACAAAAGGTTTTTGCCTTATATAATCCCCTGATCTGTGCCCAAACCTTGCACCAATGGCATCCTCATGAATGTAAAGGCTTTTAATCAAAGATTAAACTCCCCGTGCTGCACGGTAAAGGGAAAAGCAGTAAAAGGGACAGAGTATTGGAAACCCAATAGAGGCGCTAACTCTGTTTTATCAAAACCTAAAAGAAATACTTAGGATAAGGGCAGTGAAAGCAGGAGGTTGACCTGTGGTTTTACCACATCCCAACTTTCCACCTAAACATAGAAATGCAGCAGCTCAGGGCTGTGTGTACGCTGTGAGTACAATGATTTGCGTCAAAAAATTGAACAGCACATTGCATTCCATAGGTGGTCGGGGGGGTGGAAAATTTTTAAAACTACTTGTTCAAGGGACTAAATCGGGGTCCCATTCTACTTGCCCTAATAAAATTAAAATACCCAGGATGGAAAATATAAAGGGTTGATGTTTTTTTTTTATCAGGCAGGGGTACTTTTAGGAATGTCTGGCTTTTAAAAATGAAAGAGGCTTTGAAGCAACTTAAAATTTTAATGTTTTTTATTTTTTTCTAGAAAATTTCTTAGAACCCCCCAAACTTTGTATTTTAAAGCAGAGGCCCTAGAGAATAAATTGGTAAATGTTACAATTTTTTATGTCACATGATATTTGGGCAGCGGTTTTTCAAATGCATTTTTTTAAACAAATACCCTTTTTGGAATTTCATTGCAAAAAAAAAAAAGCCTAATTTTTTTGGTAAAATATAAAAGATGATCTTACGCCAAGTCAAGTAAATAGATACCAAACACACCACACTTTTAAATTGCACACACCCATGCAATGGCAACAAACTATGTAAATTTTACTATCCATAGGCGACAGGATGTCTGGTGCTTAAATGACTGCCCAAGATCTGACATTCGTAATAATACCTCACCTGTGTGGGAAGATCGCTGTTTGAAAGCATGCAGGACCGACGTATGATGCACCTTTTGCACGCGAGCATGGGGGGAGGGGGGGGAGAGGGGTGCTTTAAAATATTTTTACTTTTTTTTTTTTTTTTTCTCCAAGATGACCCTAGATCCCTTGTCTGCCCTTAAAAGCATTTGATCACACCAAAATCGGTGAGATCAAATAAAAGGGAAAAATCAGCGAGCGCTAGGAAACAGCTGCTATTGCACTAGAAAGGTAAACTCAAATGCTTTCCATTTTTAAAAATCACACGGGGGAAATTATTAGTGATGTATGCTCACCACTTCCTGTTTCCTATATCATAGAAGTGGACAGAGCAGTTCCAGTCTTTGTCTGACTATGATCAGCTGAAGACAGTGGGGGGGTATTGTAAAAGCGATCCAGCAGCTAGTTCGCTCGGATTACTTTTACAAGACAGCCCATCGTCAGCTCTAAACAATGCTGCTTGCTCACGGCAGGGCTAAAAAAAAAAAAAAATTTTTTGTTCGACACATGGAATTGTATATCCCGGGTGTCAGGTGATAGGAATTGAACATCCCTGGTGGTACCGCCGCCAAATATGACCCATTCAAGTGAATGGGAACAAGCTGCAACCATGCATATTGCCTCCTCACTGCCTGTCAAAATGCCAGCAGAAATAACCACACATGAGCCCTTACAGCTGAAATTTGGTTCCATTTAGATGACAGCTCGGCAGTTAGTACTTGTTCTGTGTAATAATCCTCACCAAGAACTTCCTACTGTAGTTCCCATATAGGTTACTGTCCTCCTCTGAGTTTTATTATCCATGATTAAAAATAAAGATAGAAAACTTGGAAAATGGGGAAAAGCTTCATAATGGCTATAGCAAGTATAAAGATCCAAAACGCCTAGAACAGATATCTTATAGACAGTTCCTGAGATATATAGGAAACAATTAGGGGTTTTACTCCCCAGCATTAAATATTAGTTTTGGGTAAATAGAAATCCTGTCATTAACAACTACTGTCTGGCATGCCTAAACCCGTCTTTCATTAATATGATCTGCTAGTGCACTGAGAACAAAGTTAAACAGTTATCATGTACAATTGTACATCATCTTCCAAAGTCAGCTGTCCTCAAAATGTTACATTTATTCCTGCAGAAGATACAGCGATGGACCATGTTCTTACATTGTATCTTTGGGGCTGATGAAACTGTATTGTGGCTTTGGCATTTCGGAAATCCTTCATGATCTCGGTGTAGTTGGCTTTTCCCCGTCTAGATAAAAGTACCTTCTTGCCATCCTTACACTTGCACAGGTTCACATCTCTGCTGTAGTAGATCCCTTGCCCGCTGGCATGTTTCAAGTCTTGCAATGGGAAGAGAGACTGGTAGTAACTCTGCATATTGGGGTCACTGCGCTGGATTAACAGTGGCTTCTTCTCCCAGTAGGTGCTGAAGAATTCATCTCTGCTCACCGGGGCAATAAAACTTTCAAAGAGGCTCTGTGGTGTGGTGAAATCCAGTGGAGGATCGGCTGATTGTGGCTGTTTTTTGGTGGGTATGGCAACATCATCCGCAGCTCCCACCTGTCTTGCTCTGCGTGGCATTTTCTATTGAGAAAACACAAAAATTAACATTTACACATATAAACACAAAAGCCTAAACTTGTCTTTTTCACAGTTACTTTATTAATTATTAGTGTTATACAGGATTTATATAGGGCCAACAGTTTGCACAGCGCTTTACAATATAAAAGGGGACAGTACAATTACAACACAGTTCAATACAGAAGGAATAGAAAGGCCCTGGCTCATGAAGCTTTTAATGCCCCTTTAGACTCAGCACAAAGGATGAAACGCAGGATGTGCCCTGAAGACCTACACTGGCGTATGGGTGGGCACAAAGCTGTGATAGTTTCCCTAACTCCTTGGGATCAGAGATAGATGGAGCAGTGATGAAGGAGAACATCCCTGTCATTGATGGCAGCTTATTTCATTTGTGCCAGGAGTTCAGCTTTAAAGGAGCAGTGTGGGCTACGTAAGAAAACAAACAGCTATACTCACCAATGTAGCTGCAGCGGAACCCCGCCATCTCTAACACTGAGAACTGAATGATCACATGACGACTGATCGCTCAGTTCTCGGTCCACTCTGAGCAGAGTGGTGACCGTCAGTCACTGCTCTTTACTCTGGCCACCAGCACTCACTGGAGCACAAGGCTAAAGAGGGGTTGGGAGAGGCTGGCTCGCTGAGAGGTTAAGCCAGCTCCCAGTCAGGCATCTGGGTGGATCCCGACATTATTGTCGGGTTCCCTCAAGAGCCTGGAGCAGCTCAGTGATATTATTTGACAGCAGGCTTTAGTCCACTGTAGTCTGATGCTGGGTCACAGGACAGCAAAATAAGTGCACTCCTGTGATCCACAAGAGATGTATGGTCAAAGCTTTGGCCATATTGCTCTTGTGTTGATATATCACTACTGTAGTGGAGGGGGGTATAATGGTGTTATGTGCCACTGTCAATTAATTATTTTCTTCCTACCCACTCAGAGTGGCTCCATTCTAAGACCTCTAGATGAGTAGCATGCGGGGCACTGATAGGGAAGTATATATATATATATATCAAAGCTTGTTACAGCTCAGGGCAGAGAGGGAAAGATAAAAAAGGACGTAATGAAAAGCGGCTCAAAGACCAACCATGGACCCAGGTCCTCCTCTCGTCCTCCATCAGAGCACCCCCTACTTAGAAAAATATCTTTATACATACCTTTATTCTACAGGTGTTCTTGGCTTAGGTGACATCACAGGTCATCTTCAGTCTCTTGCTCCTCTGGCAGGAGGTGGACCTCATAGGCTGCAAAGAGTCAGGCCTCTACAGCATTCCCTTGTAGTCCAGAGTGGTGGGGATGGGGCAGGGCTGTTTTGGCATGAAAAAGGGAACTTACTCAATATTATATATGGTCATAAAGTTATGGCCGATTGGTGTATGTTTAATGCACCCACGGTTTTCATGCAGTTTATCTGCGCATTTATTATGTCCTGCGGTTTTGGTGCATTTTAAGAAAATACACCAAAACATGGGACATAATAGAAGTCTATGACAAAGCACAGCTAATCTGCATGAAAACTGTGGGTACGCTGTGCTGCGGGAGAGTGCACCATATCAGTGTGCAAGCACTGTATAGTATGGGTGAGTGTAAGATAGGGACCTTGGATGAAAGCTCCTTGAGGGCTTGGGACTGATGTGAGTAATATATATACATATAAATATATATACACACACACACACACACACAAAGAGCTGCATTAATTGCCGGTGCTAAACAAGTACCTGAAATAAATAAAAATAAATAAAAGGTAACCTACCACCTCGGTCACATCAAAGCTGATTTTGAAATTGTGCAACTTACAGTGAAGTCGCACAATTTCAAAGTCAGGTGACTTTCCGAATTGAGGTGCGATTTGCAAGACATCTGACACAGATGTCTATGCAAATCACAGCAAAAGTAGTGCATGCACTACTTTAGAAATCGGTGCGGCTCCAACCAAGTCCGAACTGCACCGACATGATCGCTCTTATAGCGGAAAATAGGGTGTGACTTGGCATACGATTTGCAAGTCGCAGGGCATGCAAATCGCACCCAATGTGACTGGGGCGTAAGGCTGCTTCCACACTAATCTGTTTTTCTTCCACTTTTGCATTAAAAAAAGCAAAAGAAAAAAGTGTAACCATGTAATCCTATGGAACTCTTTACGCTGATCCGTTGCAGGTCTGCTGCGGTTTTACAATCCTGTTTGCTGCATTTTTGGTGTGGTAAAAAAAAACACACCTCCCAATCAAAAAACAACGGAAAACACAGCAAAAATTTAAAATAAAAAATATACCCGCTTTGGTGTTTTTTGGTGCTTTTTTTGACTCACATATCATGTAAAAAGCACACCACAAACACGGTATAAACATGACAAAAACACGTCAGTGTGAAAGCATCTTAACATGCTTTGCACCAAGACTGCCTATATGTATGAGGAATTGAGGAAAGTGGAAAAAAACAGTGCTGGCCCCGCAGACACACTCCATGGATATTGTTATCTTAGGATATTATGTGGGTGTAAATGATCTGCTTCCTGGGCAGGCGGCTTCTACACCCCAGAGGATCTCCACAGTCTCCCTGGCTTGTAGTGTATTGTAAGAAAAGTTGAAATTGAAGCGCCACACCACTGTTAGGAGGACCAGATACAACTTTATTCCATTAAAGGGCAGGGGTATCATTTGAGAAGTAACCAACGCGTTTCGGTGGTCCAAGTGCCCTCCTCAATAGGGCTAAAAGGAACATAAGAAGATTTTCATTTCAATCTGCCATCAATACAATGTCCCCCCAAAGGGGTCCTAATTACAGCCAAACAGTCAATCATAATGAGAATGTTTACATAAAAAAGAGAACATGAGTGCTGAGTGCATGAAGTGCTGAACAAAAGTGAGAACATGAGTGCTGAACAAAAGTGAGAATATGGGTGCTGAAGAAAAAAAATTCTAATCATCATTATTAATAAAATGGTATATTGTGGTTGATATGTTAGCCTAATAAGTGGTTGAAATCAACAAACCATAATAAATAAAAGCACCCTAAGGCTGCCTTCACACAGATCTGTTCTTCCACTTTTGCATTAAAAAAAAGCAAACGAAAAAAAGTGTGACCATGTAATCCTCTGGAACTCCTCACACCGATCCGGTGCAGTTTTTAAAATTATGCTTGCTGCATTTTTTTAGTGTGGTAAAAAAAAAACGCACCTCCCCATTGAAAGCAATGGAAAACACCTGTGTTGCATTTTTTGGTGCTTTTTCTGAGTCAAAAAAAACGCACCACAAACGCAGGAAAAACATGGCAAAACACATCAGTGTGAAAGCGTCCTAACATGCATTGCACCACTAGAACAAGACTAGAACAGAAATGTATAGGGTGTAGCGCTGTATCTTTAAGAATAAACCAATACATGGACATATAGTAATCATAAACACATGTAAATATGTAAACTAATAAAAAGTCTGTATACAGGAAAAAAAGTGCAGCAGATGAACTTGTGACTCCAGCCAAAAGTGAAAAGTTCGCACTCACCGGAGGCGCATAGATATTGCGCATATTACATATACATTTCTGATCTTCTTGGAGCTTTTTGGTACCTCTTGGTGTTTTAGCAGCTATTGCTAGGAGTGCTCACTTCATTGTCATTTATAATTGCACCAAGACTTCCTATGTGTATGAATGTCCTGCCTGATGAACCCCAAAGGACCCAAACCACCCCGGTGCCATGTTGTATCACAGCGATGCATTATTGTGCGCTGCAACACGGGGGCGCCATATGAAATACGAGAACTGTGGAGCTCCGACGCATGTGTGATACTGCAGCGCAGAGCTGTGATTGGGCCACACAGTCTCTGGATGGGGGAGGGAGCTCCTGTACTATGGGGCCAGTCAGGTGACTACTGGAAATGTTGGATTTCTTTATCACTTCCTGTCCCCAGGACAAAAAGTGGGTGAATCTCCATAGAGGGGACCCCAACTCCAGTAAGAACCTGACAAAGCCCTGACCACTCCACCCAAAACAGGTGTCAGTGAGTGAATCCACTGTGTGGAATAATCCTCTCCCATCATCAATGCCCTGATCCCCTCCCCCACCCTGACACCTCCTCACATGGCCACGAATCCCACCATGATCCACAGCAGACCATTCATGAGAGTACATGGCTCTGTCCATGATAGATATCCGCACCCCCTCCCCCGTGTACTATAGAAGGGGAGGGAGCGGGCTGTGCACTTACCTCCTCCACCAGCAGGGACCGCACTCCGCTCACTGATCTCCCGGACCACGCTGCCGCCACCACCACGTGCTCCCCCCCCCTTCTCCCGACATGCCTCGCTCCACTCACACTGCCAGCAACACATGGCCGTACGCTGTGCTGGGGCGGAGGGTGACACCTAGTGGTAGCAGTGCAGACTGCGTGCAATGAGACCGACGTCTTCTCTACACCTTTACTATCGATCACAGCTGACCATCTCTATGGTTACTAATTAACCACTTGCTGCCCTGACCATTTCTAACATTTCTGACATACATGTTTAAAAAAACAGCTTTTTAACATTTTGCTTGAAAATTACTTAGAGCCCCCCAAACATGACATATTTTTAAGCAGAGGTCTTGGAAAATAAAATGATGGTTGTTGCAATAATTTTTACATCACAAAATAATTGTGCGGCCATTTTTAAAAGGAAAAAATAAAGGAAAAAATACATTTTAATTCATTGTAGTGCACACAAACACAATATAATATCTTTTTTTTGGGGGGGGAGGGGGGGTAAATATAAAAGATGATGTGGAGACGAGTAAAAAGATACCAAACACGTCACTCTTTAAGCCATAATCCTCATGTCACCATCACTTCTGGGCAGGAAGTGGTTAAAGTGACATTAAACTGTGGTTTTAAAAAATCAATTTGATTCAAGTATGTATTCTTATCCCCTTTACAACCACCCAATAGATATGTGTGATGGTAAAAGGGTGGGCTTTAACACCCACACGCCTCACATATGCATTTCT